ACCGCTTATCCCATTTAAGCACACAGGACGCCGATTGTTTATTGTTGTGATGTTTTAACTTCCTTACAGTCTGTCGATAACAGCGTTAGCGATGGCGGGAAAAGGGATTGGTGCAGGATGCACCAACAAAACGTCATCGCCCAGTTTTCGGACAATCTGTTCCCTAGTGGGATAGAAGCCGAACGCGTAAACACACGACCGTTCAAGCGAATAGAGCAAGGACAAGCTGGCGGACAATTTTCAACGCAGAAGGATACAAACATCCAGAAAAGTCAAGAGCTGTAAGTACGGAGAACGTTTTTACTGTTAGTTAGATGTATGCTAGGGTAGGAGTAGGAGTCCAGAAAATTCTGCTATCTGGAGTCAGGATACGAAAAACTCAGCTCTTTCTTTAATTGGAATGATCATTTAGCAGGAATAAGGCACAAATAACCCTCAAACCCAATGGACTTTAAACGAAGTGTAAAGAGGTGTATTTATCCAACTCAGTTTATGCACTCTGTTAACTGCTAATTGACGAGGTTTGGTTCTACAGTCCCATTTGATTAATACCCTATGGTTGGCCTATTAAAGAAATTTTGGCAGATTCCAAAAAGCTGACTTTACATATTTTACGTGTTTGCGCCTACCTTATTAATGTACTCCCGCGAGCGATTGTGCCACTGTGGGGGGGGGGAGAAGGAATACTTATACGCCAGCTCCACTTCAGCTATCAGTTCACTCGCGCCTCCCTGAGCGTGCTTCGAGCACTGCTTGCGCTATCTTCATTATCCTAATTTGACGAGTGTCCAAGTAGACTGGCTAATGAAACTGCTCGGACGGTGTGGAACTCCGTTGGTTCCACTATAGTGGCAATGCACTGAGAAATACCACGCGGCTCCCTCCGTAGCATTCCAGCTGTGATTGCACCCTTCCTTATCCTACTAATCCAATGAATGAATGTGTCGGGGGGGGGGAGTGTGAACATAGAAACTTCACTCGCTTCCATGTGCGCGCTTCGAGCTCTATTTGCGTCCTCTTTCCCTTCCTAGTCCAGTGAGTGGCTAAGCTAGGTACTGTTGCTTTTTAATTCCCTTAAAAATTAACTGCGAACTTGGAGTAGATCAGTATATTTAAGGTCTATAGGCTGAGACCAAAGTTTGAATGTATGAATATTTGGGCCGAAGTCCATCAGCCACAGCGGATAACTGCGTAATATTCACTAACTGCCGACAGACAGCTGGTAGAGTACTTCATGGTAGGGTGATTCCACTGACGAGCCGAGCTCCTCGCAGCTGTGTTATGCTAACCCAGCGAGTGGGCACGTAGGCTTCCAAATGGAATTATTTGGACAGACTAGAACTCCGCAATTTCCATTACAATGGCCATGCACTGCGAATTACCATGCGGTCCCCTCCGTGGCCTCCCAATTGTGATTGCACTCCCGTATCCTCCTAATCCAGCGGGCGTTTATGTGGCGGGGAGAACACGTACACGCCACCTTCACACACTCTCCTGCGCGCGCTTCGAGCTGTGCGTGGGGTCTCTTTTCTTGCCCAATCCAGCGACTGACTGAGTCAGGTATGCAAAGGCTTATTTATTTCAAGTTGTGGCTCTGTACTACGACCGGCCAGAGCTCATAAGTCACCATAACTAAGCGGGATATTTGTGCGATATGTTCCAGCTCAGAGGTAACGGTTGTCAAAGTGGTTAACGTGTTGGGGAAGGGGGAGGGGAAGAATTGTGGTTTGTTTGCGGCTTAATCATTTAGGCCCTCGCATCGCCATGGCGAAAGTGTGAAGGCGCTGGAAATATGACTGGGTCTGTTTAACAGACTGCCCAGATTGGGGCAAAAGCAGAGTAATTCAAGGAATGGCCAGGTAGACGGGAAAAATATTAAGAAATGCAGAAGGCAGATTACGTAACCAGTTCATAGTTGACCTGCACAACTTGGCGCACATTTTACATACACCAAAAAGGCCTGTTTATATGGCATTTTTGTCACAACACTGCCATTAAAAATGAAGATGAACGTCATCGTCCCGGTACTCGTGTCGATTTCCAAATCATCGAAGCATATCTGACATTTACTTAGCCTTAATATCATTAAAAATGAATCATTGGTTGACATCTACAGAACCATTTAATTCTTTGTCACATTAAGCAAGCCAGTACGGGACAGAGTTCAATCCGTTTTGTAAAATAAAACCCATTTTATAGTATGTTTCCCACGTTTTGATAAAGATGCCTACAAGGAGTTATTTAAGAAGGATTTGTGGAAAGCGGCGGACTGAAAAATGTGTGGGGCGACAAACTTTAGATTGTTACTTTCGAATTTGGCTCATTGCAACGGATTAAAATAGCAGCATTGCTCCACGCGTCTGAGCGAGATTTTAATCACCTATCAGAGAAATCTTACTAAAACATTCTCTACGTCTTTGGAAAAACTAACGTATTGGCAGGTATACTTTCTGCCATGATCATAAGGCTATGAAGCCGCTACCTTAAGCCAGATCAGCGGTTTCCCATCGGATGTCTGACGGAGCAACGCCTTGAATTTTATGTGGCTCAACAGAGCTAACTGGTTGATGAAGTTTTACCTCTAATTTCTACCCATATTGTAAATTTTTTGTGGCCGATATCTGTAAGATGTTGTACTTTCTGTCCCAAAGTAACACTCGAGTCATAGACTGACGGTCAAAACTGAGAAAACGGCGTAAACCTACATCCGGGTTGAAAAATGTCCGGTGTAAAATTTTAAATTATTTGAAAATTAAGATTTATAGGTAGAACGTTCCTTTGAAAAATAAAAGCAAAGAATATGGAAAAAAGCAGTAAACGGCAATTACAGTCGGCTGCGCGAAATCCAGGAAATTTATGTGTATGTGATAGACTGTGTGAGGTACTTGCAGAGACAAATGCAAAAGATAGGAATAAACTACACTGTGTCTTAATTAAGGTGTGCTTAAAGGAGGTTGGACCATCAGGAACCAATTTTCCCTCCACTTCTGCGTTGTGGACACTTTGCCAAACCATGAATTAAAAATGAGATGCGCACAAAAGCGGTATATCTTGCAGAATTTTGATAGAAATTCTGCAATGTGTCTTCGACTGATAAGGTTTATTTAAATGTGGTCGTAAAACCGATTTTCATGCAGTAAAATTCCTAGGTACTTTAGTGGTGCCAGGATGCTGGCTTTGGAACGCGATCTACTCCGGTCGCTTACAAAACCCCACTCCCCAAAAAGTACTTAAATAGTATCATTTTTCAGTTGAATTTTGATATACTCATAAATTCTAGTGTGGTTTGCGGAAAATATGCCCAAACTACCCTCCCCTATACTGGTTTAGTATCAAGCCACAGCTTTTGTAATTAATATACCCAAGGAAGATTTGCTTTCAGTGTTGGAAAGTTCTTTCCCACCTAAAGTAATTTTGAACCCCGTCTGGTGTTGTTATTGCGTCCAGGGCTTCATGTAATAAAAATCATATATTGTCCTACGTCAATAAAAAAATTCCGTGGGATTTTTTAGTAGACGTGAATCGTGTTGCCCACTTCGCAAGGCCATGCAAAGCCAAAAACGTTTTAAATTCGGCAGCCAAAAATGAGTAAAAGAAGTCATATTTTCTGCTTGTTCTTTTGTAGACAAATTTGAATTCATGAGTGCCTCGAAAATCGAGGCAAAATCGAGCTCTTTAAGCAGCTGTCTTTTGAAGGGTGTCGTTCTTTGTAGACGGCAGGAAGTAATTAAAGTGCGGCATGAACAGCAGGGAAATCCTGCTAGTGAAAAAACATCTAACGACGATGCTGCATGCCATCTGCATATAAAGATTCAAACTAAAACTCTGTCACATATAAACATGCAAAGAACCATGCATCAATCAAGTAGGAGCTTTTATATGGGTTCTACAGTTTATATTTACTCCCCCTACTTTATTACATAGAAGTAGACGAAAAAGTCACAGATCAGTTTTTCTTTGTCTTTTTCAATTGAGAACAATACAAAAGCATCGCCGAAGCAATGCCTACGTATCCTTACGTAATTTTGTTGAACTGTTAATATACTGTCCTAGATTAATAAATACATACGTCGGGAATGTAGCAAAAAATCGCACAGGTTCTTTTTGAAAGTCGAACGGTAGTAAATTGCGCCATTTTTCCCAGAAAGGACTATGCACACATTCAAACAAGTGCATTGAGGGGTCTGCGTCGTTTAATGGTAAATTTCATGCGGTAAAATACGCATATGAAAGGTAAACCCCTCGTTTTGGTGCGCTAACAACGATTTGTGGGTTTCGCGCTGCAGATTTCCTGGGATGCATATCCACCGTGCTTATTGTGCGTTGTTGACAAACATAAAAAGTCTCGGATTCCTTTCTTTTGATCGGTAATTGAGGATAATGAGCAATTTAATGACCATTAAGTGTAATTACACGGACATTCTTAAAGTTTTTTCTAAAGCTCTACGTAGATCAAGACATAAATCCAGTCTGCGCAATTGGTTGTAAACTGTTTTTAATTTTTGCATGCTGATTAACACATTATTTCTGGGCTGGTCATCGTCAATAAACTTGCCAGATGGTGTGTTCACTGTGCTAAAATTGTGAAAACCTCCTACAATTTTTTTATTTTCTAACCACTTTGGCTTCTGGAGTTCCTAAGGTGCTCGACATCGCATTTTGGACGGTGAGTGCCACGCACTTGATTCAGACTTAGCCGAGTACTTTAATGCTCACCGGTCTTTATTTTTCGCACTTTGCCGTCCTTAAGCCAGGAACGAAGTCGGCAACATGACTTCACTGCCTGTGTTTCTGCCGATTTGCGCTCTCCGTCCGTGAGTGGAATTCACTTAGAACGCAAAAATCGTCGGGTATGATTTGTTCATTAAGAGAACAATTCTCATTGGCTAGCGTGCAAAGTGAGCAAGGATGATTTGCTCAAGCTCTTCTGCTACGATTGGGAATCACTGACACTAGTCAGATTTATATCCCCACGCGAACAAGATCTTTGCATCACCCGGATGATTGGACGAAATTATGCCAAGTTCTTCCAGGGATTTATCTTTGCATTTGTATGTCTTTTTCTGATAAACTTTCTCTGTGCACTTCGCTTTGATTTGACCAAAAGCTTGGTCACATTCTCTGTCCTGCGAATTTCCCATCCGGGCAAAGGTTTGCTCCCAGCTAGAAAGCCGTCTGACCAAGAGAGTCACAAGGACAGACTATATGTCCCACTAGGTTGTCAATATCTAAAAACAAATCTTACTGAGGCAACCGGTGAATTTCGTGTGCTTGACTCCAAACAGGAAGTAGGCATTTACAGTGTTTTTCTGGATAGACGAAAAAGTGACAACGTCACCGAGAAACGTTCAATCACCGGACATAGGAATGGCGTACTGCGAATCATACTGGCGAAAAAACGACTTTCGCTGCCAAAACTGTACTGTCACTTCTTCGGAACTGACGGTGAAGTTCACAGCGTCATTTCGCGCAATTTGGTAGGCCGTGAGTTTGCCTTCTATGAACTGACAGAAAACCATCTTCGACCGTACGGCGGTTACAGCGTGCACTGCGATGCTCCTGACCTGGATATCCCAGTACCAAGCGAGTCCGGATATTGTGGCATTGCTGTGTCCACCTCTGCCTCGTATGTGCCCGAAAGCTCTGCGATGTTTGCGCCAACGGTGATTGGTGCAGCCTCTAGAGCTCTGCCCACGGAGGAGAAATCAACGTTAAAGTTGGGTCACAAGTTCGGCATTTGTGTGCCCGCCCTACACAGTATGGATAGCCTAAATCCCTGGCGACTGGATGAATGGATTCAAATACACGTGAGACTGGGCGCCACGAAATTTCGCATCTACTACAGCAAAGCTATTTTAGAGCCCTTGCTTACTGTTCTTACTGCACCGCGCTTGTGGAAGGGCCTACCCATAGATGTTGAACTGATTCCTCTAATGTGGCCGAATCATCCGGAGATAGCCAGTAAGCTCTCCTGGTACTACTTCCAGATCATCACCGTTAACGACTGTCTCTATCGCAGTATGCAGGATGTAGAGTTTGTCTTCTTTGGTGATCTTGACGAGATTCTGGTGCCCGTAAGCCCCTCGGCCAAAAACTGGAGTACTCTGACAGATTACCTCTGGAATGCGTCCTCTCTGATCCTCCCCAGCCCAGGATACTGTTTTAACTCGGCCATCTTCCCTACCAGTGCACCGGCCCGGAACTTTGAACGGCCCTTCCATAGACGCTATACGCGGCGTGTTGAGAAGTTGGACACTGTGCGCAGGAAATGTCTGGTGCGACCTTTGTGGATTTTTGAGATGGGCATCCACCACATCAGTAAACCCTACGAAGAGTCTACGCTGGCGGCCCTCAATATGAGACCTGGTCATTCCGAAATCGCAATTGTGCACCACTATCGGTTTGAAGCGATTGACCGTAGGGAACATTGCATTGAGGACAAATCGCTTGAGAGATTTCTTCCATAAGTTGAAAGCATTCTTATTGTTCTACCTCAGGCTGCATTGCGTTCTACAGTGATATTTTGATATCTTTAAGTTTAAACTGACCACCATACGAAAACCTACTTATTTGCCATGTACTTTTGAAAGAGTTTTTGAGATCGTACATGGTTTTATATGATTGATATCAATCACATTCTAATATAAAGACGACTATGTGTTAACCGTGTTATCCCACCTAAAGTGTCCAGTTAAGCCGCATGCACAGGGGATCGTCAAACGCATGGAAAATCAACTGATATTACGAAACCTGCTTTCGGATGGAAAAGACACAGTGGGTAACCAAACTGATAAAAAAATACCACAATTTACGAATTATTGTTAATAACTCGCAGACCAACGCCGAGGCATGGATTCAATCTCTATATTACCAAAAAATAACTTCAAGGAAATTGGAAACATATAAGAAATAATAAGAGTAACATTAAATCTTTCCGAAATATCAAGTTTTTAGAAAGGAGCAGAAAGTATGGGAAGGTCAAAGCGGTTCCTAACTGTATAAACTTCAGCTTTTAATGAGCAGAAAGCCTGCCCATACAAATTTAATAGCAAAAATTGAATGACATTAAAAAACAATCTTATAGCGAGGTTTTCGTTAAACGACCTTCCAATAATTTGTTTGAGGTCAGATATGGCGGTTTGATAGAAGTCTACACTCTGAGAAAAGACTCCAAAACGATTTCCTATGAACTTACTGTATTGTTTTACGCTTTTGCAGGATATTGCTTTATATTGCCGGTAGGGACGTCAGGAATAAAGGTTTGCTTAACGGCATATGCTGAACGTCCGATCAGTGATAAATAAATTTAAGCAGAATCGACAGGAACGATCATAAACACATCATTGTGCGTATGAAACGAGAGCGTTTCTTCCGTTACATTAATTTTCACGTTCTCTCTTATTGGAGTACTTCGAGTTATAGATCGGCCTTGAAATTTCGCTGAATACCTTATGATCTTTAATATTTTCAATCGATTGACTATAAGGACAGATTATTTGCTTTGTAACTCTTAAGTTACGATACTCCTTGAAAGCATTTACCGAGAAAAAGAGCGTTTGGGCGTTCTTTTCCATGTAACTAATCATCTGGGCCTCATGTGAAGGTTTGTCCATAAATGAAACCTCATCGCTGAGTAAAAGTAACATCTACAACAAATGTCAACAACTAATATGATTCCATCGCCCAAAAACTTTCTCTAGTATGTTATCTTTTAGAAGGGTGTTTTAACATTCTATCTTGTTGAGGGGCGTCTGTTTACTTTATATTTCTAATTAGTGAAACCAAGAAGAATATGACACTTAACTGGTTCTTTTACATCACCAAAATATCAATATTTTTCTACCGTAAAGGTATATACTTGCTTTCACCTTTGTATTTTGGCCCTTTTCCTATCACTGCTCACTGTTAGACTCCGCTCTAAGATTATGAATGTGTGGTGGAGTTAACATATAAATATCGCTATTTTGTTAACTGTTTATTTTCTGCTTGCTTTAGTTCTAAATTAAATGCATACAGAAACCGGAGTTTATCGTTTTCTGCAGAAATCAGACCGCAAGAAAATAATATCTCATATATTTGAAAATGAAAATGTCTATTCGAGGATAGTTAATTTGGTATCAAATCATATTATTTTCCACATTGCAAAATAGTTTGACTCAGTCAAACGTAGGATCGCCTACGTGCGTTATCACTAAGCCTTACGGTCTGAAATTGCACGAATTTGTTAATCTGACGTCCGAAAATCGATAAAACGTCTAGTTCTTTAAAAAACCCGTCTGTTAGCGAACTGATTCCTATGCCTATCATCGGATAGAAAACGGATTTTAAAGTGCAGTTAGCCCTCATTTGTAGAACTATCTAAGAAAAACTACTCTCTTCTCAAAGTAAAACAAACTCAGATGCGTAATGGAGGTCTAGGGCAGGTATCAACACAGAAAATCGCCGCAATAAATTGCTGTGTCCGTTTTGACAAAACTGGTTAACGCTTTGCTTGATTGAATTTCTCAGACACATAATCGCCACGAGGAAAGGAGCGCTTGCCCGAAGGAGCTCGGTGATTGAGTAAAATGCACAAAATTTACGCCGTCCGAAAATTCTCATATTCGTTTCTGTCATCAGTTTTCTTACGATAGACCGCATGCTGTATCTATGAACTAGGCTCAAGTGTTTGCACACAGGCCATGATCATCGACTAGGGAGATGGTCTTTGAAGTCGGGCACAAAAGCACGCTCGGCATACTACTTATTTTGTATCTTCTTTTGATTATCCTTGATGCCTCTATAAATATACCTATGGATTTTTGAAAATCTGAATAGAAAATGTTTGTTTTATACTCGGAATATAGTGGGCTACAGACTAGTTAAACTCTACACTTGACAGAAGACGCTTCCTCATTTAGATAGTACTATTTCGCATATATTTTCATATCTGTCTGCTATCCTTCCAGTTATTCCTATTAGATCGCTAATAAGTGGCTTAACCTTGCTGTAATAGTTCTTACAAAGTAAAATTATATTTTGGTGGACTAGTTAAGGTCTTGTGGCTTTTAGCGCGTACTGTGCAGGCATTAAACGAATATCCACAGAAAATCATTGAAATATTTACGACCGGTATATATAAATATTAATGAAAACATCCGCCTTAACGATAAGTGGTCAGTGGTTAAAGTAAAGCATAGGCAATCGTTAAAGTAATTGTGCGTTAATTAAGAATAAAAACTTGTAACTAAAATCGGGAAAGTCAAATGCACGGAAATTCGCTTCAGATAAGAAAACAAAATTTGGGCACTAAATAGTATATACATCAAAAATGACTGATTATATGAGCGACCATCGGGCAGAATGCGCCCAACGAATAAGCATACTACACTCTGGGGCGGTCAGTCAACTTGCAGGAACTTGGTTGGAGGTTTATTTCATAAGCAAGTTTTCTGTGTCAGAGGAATATCCCGTCCGTAAAATTGCGGCGTCGGCGGAGTTCGTTCAGTCCCAGTGCGACCACGAAATGACTGTAAATACTTCGCGGTCTTGGGCGTTCTCAGTTGACTGCCCGAAAAGACGGCTTTTGCGATCTACGGTGCGTGACCAATCTCATGAACTATTGGTCAAAATTCTGGAATGTGCTTCCGATTAGGAAGGATTACTTAAGTGGGGTTGTTATACTGATTACCATTCAGCATAACCCTATAGAATTTCAGATTCGCCCGGGTGTCGGCTTTTGAATGCACTTCTTTTTAACCTCCTAAAGAAACAACAGTCGGTAAAAAATGACTACCTGTGTGGCATGCTATTTTCCTATTGATTATCAATAGTCTTATAAATTCAAATATATTTTACAGAAAACATACGCAAAATATGCTTTCTTTCGCTTATTTGGTAAGAAATCACATTGTATTTAGGTTTAATGTCCATAGAAGGTGTGTATTTTTGTTTTATAAAAGTTTCCCAATTCCCGAAGGATTTTCAGCCTGATTTGCCATTGCATTAGCGTCTAGGGATTTCAGTCTACAAGGCGTATGCTTTCCGCGTAGGGAAAATCATATATTCCTCCATGCCTCTAAGAAGATACCACGTAGAGTTCATGAAATTTTGCAATGGATACAGATTGCGTTGTACATTTCATGAGGAGCATTAGTAAACGGACATGTGCTGTCCTGCATGCATGGACATCGCACGGTCTTAAAAATCTCATAATTAGAAACTTTTCTTCAACCAAAATACGCACTTTCTTCGGGCATAAAACACGAATACAATGTGACTTCCCACCAAATAAGCAAAATAAAGCATAGTTTTTGCATATTTCCTGTAAAATATATTTCAATTTATAAGACTCTCGAAAATCAATAGGAAAAAATGCATGCTGCGTATGTAGTAATTTTTCACCGAGTATGGTCTCTACAGGAGGTCAAAAAGAAATGAATTAAAAAGCCGACATCCTGCAGAGTCCGAAATGAAATAGGGTTGTGCTGCACATTAGTAAGTATATCAACCCCACTTAAGTAATCCTTCCTAATCGGAAATGCATTTCAGAATTTTGACCAACATTTCATGCAATCGCTCACACACTGTAGATCGCAAAAGCCGTCTTTTCGAAATAAGACTACTCTTTAAGGCCTTTGCCCATGTATTCAGCACTACGGAGTTCTTTCCGGTGAAGACTGCGGTCTGTAAGTCACTTAAACATAAAACGCCCCTTTGAAATACCAATCAGTACTTTGCTATTTTCGAAGTTCTTTCTCGAAAACTCAGAAAGACTAAACGTATTTATATGCTCAGATTAACAGGAAACCTAGTGGTGGAACATTCTTCGTTTATAGACGATCCATTGAGTAGACCGCGTTTTTACTCGGATGGTTGAAGTACAGTGCGTGACCTATCTCATGAAATGTTGGCTGAAGTTCTGAAATGCGTTTTCGATTAGGAAGTATTACTTGGTCGCGGTTGTGATACTGACTATCTTAAGGCATACTCTTATAACATTTTGGACTCGGCAGGATGTCGGCTTTTCAATACAGTTCTTTTCAATCTCCTGTAGAAAGCGTGCTCGGTAAAAAATGACTACTTAAGTAGCATGCATCTTTCCCATTGATTTTCGATGGTCTTGCAAATTCAAAGATATTTTATAGAACCCATAAATAAAAATATGCTTTCTTTTAGTCAATCAATAGAGAATCACGTCTTCTTTATATTTTTTACTTAAGGAAGGGATATAATTGGGTATGCCGCAAGATAGTCAGTATTACAACCGCGATCAACTAATTCTTCCTAATCGAAAACGCATTTCAGAATTTCAGCCAACATTTCATGAGATAGGTAACTCACTGTAGCTGTATGCCCAGATCTCGGCCATCATATATAAAACGTTTGTCTACATTTTGCGAGCTATTTCGGACTGCTGCCTTTTTTCGAACAATGCGTGTTAACACCAGCTCTTACCACATGAAAAAAAAACATATTTAGTTAAAGT